TCTTAATACGATTAAGACGTTTCTTAATGAGCCCATTGAGCTCATTTTCGTGCTTAAAAAAAAAAAAACAAACAAACTTTCGCGTTATAATGGGAAACTTTCGCAAATAAACGCAAAATTTTCGCGTTATGATGAAAATTAGATGTCTACTAAATGCATGTATACCGGATTCAGTGTTAAAACATTGATTATTGCGTTAACTATGGTTTACAGATGTATTTTTAACATAGATTAATGTTGTTAACTATAGTTTACAGTCCATAAACTATAGTTTACAACCGATAAGCCTAGTTTATCGACTATGAAACTATGTTTAGCTCATTTTTTGTAAATTTGGCGTGCCATAGACTTTGTATGAGATTTTTTTTTAATTCATGGCCACGAAATAGAAAAAATTCGTGGGAACGAAAATAAAATTCTCCTCTACAGCTTGTCATCATGCTACATGACATAGTATGAAGTCCCAACTCATGATTCTTTTTTTAGATATATGATAAACAGGGACAATTTTACATTAGTGAACATATGTATATTTTTTTTAACTATATTTTTATAATAACTCCTGTAGGGGTCTAATTTTTGTTCATGATATTAGTCAAGGCAACCCGAATGTTAATGACTTTAAGGGCTTATTTGCTGTTTTCTCACGTTTTCTAGTAATGAAAAAAAAAAAAAAAAATCTCAGTATTTTTAAGAAATAAGGTTTTTTTTTGGTTTTTTTTTTTAGTTTTTTGGGATGTAAAACGGGTTGATCACGGGATCAAATCCCATAAAGACTTTATGGAAGATTTTGATCATGCGCCAACCCGTTTTACATCCCAATAAAATTCAAAAACTGATACCTTATTACTTATATTAACATTTGTGACTGATTTATTACAAATAGTAATAAAATTAACGTTTTAAATCCACAAAGGGTTTATTTTTTCAAAACTCCACGGTTATATTTTTTAAGGTGTGACCGTTGGGGTGAGCGCAGTTGTACCATCAAAAACACTTTCAAACATCGAGCCGCACGAGACATCTCGACTAGCTGTGACGTCACACGACGTCACGGAGCTCGTCGGAGCTTACGGAGACAGCCGAGCGTCTGGTTGAAACTATAGACCTAGTGCAATTTTGGTCGAAAAACATTGCAGAGTTCTTTTTTGTTTCTTTGAAAGATTTCTACAAACTGAAAGCCTTTTATGCTTTACGTACGTAATTATTTATTTATTTATAAATAAAGGACATTGGGTAGTAAAGGAATTCTGGGAATGTTTCACAACAAAATTTGCTTGACGTATGTACAAATTTCATTCCCAATTTCATCTGTTCTTACACGTAAGTCTATACTGAGCTCGCTTCGCGACGCTCGCTATAAATTGAATGTGTTGAACACGTTGATCACTTATGACGTCACTGTGAAATTACGTAGATCGCTTATGACTAATCAATCAATTTATATTTACATGACGAACGTGTTCTACAGAGATATATTTGCATATCCACTGCTCTCTCCCACTATGAACATGTAGCCATCAACTGCGTTCATAGGACTATAGACGCAACTGCTTCCACTATGACTGCAAGTGCTCTATCTCACTCGTGTAGAACAAGCTCCACTACACCTATGTACCGTGTTGAGAAGTATATATATGAAATGTTTCGTAAAAGGACTAAATATAAGTTTTTAATAATATTTTTTGGAAAAAAAGGGATTCAGAACAATTTGAAATTGCCGTTTGATATCTTTAAAAATTTGATTTTGGTCAAAGTATTTAATTGTAAAATAAAACTTTTAAAAAATTGAATAGAACTCCATATTTTTATTTTTTCGTATCATGCATACTTGTACAAAGAACGATAACTCTTCAAACTTGGGTAATAACATTCAAAAAGAGAAAATTTCTTTAACTAGTAGATATCTATATCTATTTCAAGAAAAAATAAATAGAAAAAGTACCAAAAAAAATCACAGAAAAGCATACTGGAGTAATAATCATAATAAAAGCATTCTCATTTTTGTCATAGTGTTAAATTATTGATTTTTGTCAGAGGATTTCAATAACGTTGATCGATGACGTCACGACTGCATCAAAACAAAAATTAAGAGAATGTGATGACGGCGCTGCTTGTATCCAGATAACTGTGTTTGAGAGGGAAATACTTTATAAATTGTGATTTATTAGAGAAATGGAGTATTGATCAGGTGTATTGATTTTAAAGCCGTATGGTTTTCTTTACTGAAGACAGAAGAAGCTGCGTCCTTATGTAAGTCAGGATTTCCTCTGATATTCTTGTCAACATCAAAGAATGCAAATATAAGTAATAAACAACGATTATTTAGTGAACATGGAGTAATGAATAGCAATAGCTCTGCTGGCATATTTTCCATGATGCGCTAGCGCGCATCATGGAATATGCCAGCAGAGCAATTGCTATTCATAACGCCATGTTCACTAAATAACGTTGTTTATTTCTTAAGTAAAAACGCCTTGTTCAAATAGTGTTATATAAGATCAAACATTTGCAATGAATGTAAACATCCAAAATCAGCCAAACGACCCAATAGAATTTACATTGCTAAGTTTGCAAGGTGGGCTGGGGGCTTTTCGTTTGTCAGGTTATTAAAGACCCCCCCCCCACTTGTTTTAAAAAATAAAAAGAATTTTAATGTTATCTGAACGTAATATTGATATATTATGCGAAAATAACTGCGAGTTGGACAATGTCATATTTCGGTTGTTTTTTGTTTGTTTTTTTTTTTTAATGGGGGGTGGGGTGGATGGGTTAAAAATTGACTCAAAAATAATTTTTGACATAATAAAAAATCAAAACTTGATCCATAACACTGAAAATCTTGGATGATTTCCGGAACTTCCTCCACAGCTTCCGACCCATTTCTGTTATCTTGTCCAGTTTTTACACTAAGCCATCAATCGCGTTCCCGATTGCTAAGAACCAGGCAGTGTAGGAACTAGTTTAACAGTGCGCATGAATATATAAACCATAAAACGCCTATATGTTAATTTGATACCCAATATTTTTAACAGTTTTTCATATCATTTGATTATAAATAAGTGTCAGTTTATACGTATATGTAATGTGATGACATTTTTAAAACATCTTTGAAAAAGCACACGGAACTACAGTTTCTTCAAACTTGATAATTCAAGATGGCGTCCAATGCCTAGAACTTGTGCTGTCGATGGGAATAATTCAGTAATTGAAGTGCGTTAAAACGCATCTAAATTTAAAGAGTATTTCTGATATGTAATCTTCCTTAATGATTTTGTAAGTACATGCACAGCTTGTTCGGTAGAATAGGTGGGGCTTCATAACTTTTTTATTGCATCAAGGCTTTGTTTTCCGCTTTTCATTTATTAGATTATCGTTTATGATCTGTATCAAGTATAGCTTTCAAGTTGCAGGTGCAGTAATGCATTATATTCTATCAGAACAGTGCCACCATATCCGAATAAGAGACAAAATTAACTCACGATGGGTCCGCAAAATATGTTCACCAGCGTATTGTTTTTGTTTTGCTTTGTATATCTTTTATTTGAAACGTTTGTTTTTTTTTTTTATTTATTTTTTCCTGCTTGAGTGTAATATAGAATTCTGTTTTTATATTTTCTGTTACTTGAAGATTCTTATATCCTCGATTTGAAGCAGAGTTTATGGAGGTGACAGGGCTCCCATTCCTCGCCACACTAGGATTTTATTTCGGCTAGGCCGCTGCCTGTTGGCATCTCTTTCTTCTTAAACGTCAGCATTTGCTACTACTCTCCATGTCAGGTTGGTATCAGTTGGCATTTTCAGTTTGTTCTTCACTTGCATTGTAGTCTTGGCCGCGTATGCTAGTCTCCGTATGGGTGGATCCAGGATAAAATCCCGCATGAGTTATGGTTCTTGTACTGACTGACAGTTCATTGATTATTCCGTAGAATGTTAAAATCTATACTTACCAAAAACAGTTCATTTTATCATGACATTATTTAAATCTGAAACATGATTTGTAGTCTCGATCCATGCACAGAGGTCTTTAACTTTCACTGTCTTGCAACACGCACAATAAATAATTGTGTTTTCTATGTTCTAGAATTACACTGTTCTGTTGAAATCTTTAAAAGTTTTATCCTTTAATTCTAAATAATTAGAATTGATTTGATATTAATTCTAATTATTCACAAGTTAATGTTAGCATGTGTTAGCATTTTCTTCTTTAACATCAAATGATGATGTTTAATTGAGTTTGTAAACCATTTGAATTGATTTTGCTAAGCAGTCCGTCTTTCATAATTAAAGTTTTATTGCATGTTTTTTTTTATTATTATTAAACACTGTACAATTCACAATTCAAAAAAAAAAATGGTCATTGTTTCCACACATTATATTGTTGCACACACCCTGAATTGGTTCTCAAAATAAAGATATCTAATAACTTTTTCCTAAATTCTTCTGGCTGCAGACAACAGAACCATTTTATATCAAGTATATATTCGAAAAACTCTGCATGCATTTGTACAAAATCATTTTGAATTTATTATGAGAACCTTGCATCCAAGAAAAAATGATGATCATTCTTTAATATTGCGCATCATATTAAAAACATTAAAAGAATATACCCAAAAATATTTCAGTTTATAGTTTGATATACATGTAACCACATTTTATTATATGCGATTAATAATGTTGGCATTTAAAAAGTTGTGTTCATCGAGATGTTCAAAATAGTTGCATCATTTTAGGAGAGTTTTTTTTAGAGATTTGAAATAATACTTCATATAAGGATGTGCATTTGAAGTGGTAAAATTGATCATTTGAATAAAAGGTATGTTTTATAAGAAATTGTATGTAGCTTAATAGTTTTGAACATCTCTGAGTGCAGTTTTTTTTAACCTTGTTTGCCCTGGATCCACCCTGTATATTGACTGGAATGTAAAGGAAAAAAACGGTGATGGAACAAACCTGCTTTTTGGAATCATGCAATAGTGAACATTTGATTAGAGGTATCAAAAATGCATCATTCGTCTGTAGTGTGAACTTGTCAACTTTACCAATGACATGAACAACTTCATTTAACATCTTACACACTGTCTTAACACACTAAGCATTAATTATAAGCACTTTATAATTTTATGTAAAGATACATTTTATGTTCCCACTTAGTAATTCAGAACTCTCAATATTTGGCTTTGTGAAAGTAATATGTGATGATAATACAGAATTGTTGTCATGTGATGTTAGCAGTTTTATTTCCTGTTACAGCAAAATACAAAATAGTGGTTGAATTTTCAATAGCTTGCTGGACAGCTCAATAGGGTATTTAATTTGGTCTAACAAGTATCACATTAGGTTTGAATCTAGGTCACAAGATTACTCAGGTGTATCATTAGATTTTACAGGTAAATGTGAGTTGATTTCAATGTTGTATGAAGCTACATTTATGGGCTAAAGTGTTATGCAGTAAATACATGCAGAACTTTTATTTAATTGCAAATATTTTTTGCAGAATTAGTGAATGACAGCCCCCTCTTTTCTGTTCTTACAAAAGGTATTGTTTAACAAAGTCAGGAAGTTAGCTCCCAACTCCAATTTTCCCACTTTATGCCTTATACATAAACAGGCATATATTTGTAAACGGAATAATATTATAAATATTTGGAATGATATAAATAACACATATAAAATGTATTAAATTAATTATGATGAACATTTCTACACCCATTAAATTTCTCTATATTCATGCCTGTTACTCTGAAAAAAATTCTCTGAAATTTGAATTGATTTAGAGCTTGTTTTACAAAAGACCTTATATATATATGACTAAGATTGACTACTCTTGCTATTCATTCTATTCTTTACATTGATTCAATTCTTACTCTATTTTTTCATATTTTAAAAAATAACATAGAGGTAACATTATAAATTAAAGCAAATTCTCACAATTGGAGAATTATTCAGTGATGAGAGTTAAGAACTTTTAGTTTTTATATATATAAATTAATTTTAAACCTTAGTAAATTTATCAAATTATAAAATCAAACCAGTGAGTTTATCATGGATGATGAGATTTTGATGTACAACAAATAGTGTACTCAAAGTTTTGGAAGAACCAATGTATTTGAATGCTAGATTAAGCAATGTTAAGCAGTTTAATCTAATTGGTGATGGTGATATTTTTTTACTAACATTTTGTCCAAAGAGAAATTTTACCCTCTAATATGAAATTACTTATACGTTATGAAAATAGATTACAATGGGTATTTATGGTGGAAGTAACAAGACTTGGAAGGAATTAGAAAGGATAGTATGCAGAAGATGTACGCATTACTGAAGAGCTATACAATTTTACTGAAAAATATTTGCAATTAAAGAAAAATATTGCATGTATTTCAGCATAAGACTTTGGCACATACATGTACATGTGGCTTCATACAACATTGAAATCAACTCACATTTACCTGTAAAATCTAATGTTACACCTGAGTAACCTTGTGACCTAGATTCAAACCTAATGTGATACTTGTTAGACCAAATTAAATACCCTATTGAGCTGTCCAGCAAGCTGTTGAAAATTTAACCACTATTCCGTAATTCGCTGTAAGAGAAATAGATGAAGAGAGAAAGAAACAGAAAATCAACTTATAATTTTAGTGGGGAATATTTTCATTTTTTGTTCCATTGTAAGAGGGATTTATTTCCCTTTGGCCATCTTATTGGACGTAAATATGACCTGTTTCAACTAATTAAAAATTGTCATGCAGAGCATTGAGGTTTAGATAACACTTTTCTCTGACAAGTGACAAATAAGCATTTTATGAAAGCCTTAAATTCAAATCTCTATCAATGTAAAATGTTTTAAATTGGTTGCTCAAAGCGGAAAATTCACCAAGATTGGAGATCATGGGAAATAATTTGGGGGGGGGGGATATGTCATGAGAAAACCATCTATGAACAAACAAAAAAAAACTTCAGGCTGATGTGGCACTTTGACTTTCCATTTTGTTTTTCACGTGACTTCTGATAATTACCTTTTCTGTGGGCTCATTTGATGTATCTTTATTTATATTGTCATCAGTATATGTGTATCATTTTATACAATCATATGTAACATTTTAACATACTATTTCACTCACAGTATTAATGATAAATATGCCTAGCTTTATAAGCATTAATGCTAGTGGCGTGTGTCCTTGGGAGGAGTGATCGTGCTGTGTAGATAAACATAACTACCAGTCCTTGTGTGTTACTGCGTCTCTCTACAATGTAGGACAGATCCAGCATGCTGAGAAAGATCAGAGCAATAGCATTTTCACAAGATGTAAATAATATGTCCAGAAGGATACATGTTAAGTTGCATGCTCATGTTCCTGTATTTAATTATAGACCAAAAGTTTAAGCTTTGTGTGATTTTGTTATATGTATTTAAATTATGTGCATGAACTTTTTTTTTTTTATTTATTTATCTTTAATTTAACCAGTGTTTGTTGTGTGATAATTCTGTTATATGTTATATTAAGGAAGACTGTTACATTGCCATGATAGTTTTTAGAACAAATATACTTGTATCTAAATCACTAATACAAACTTCAGTGTCAATATGGTCAATTTCATATGTTTCCTGTTAACTGATGTTTCTAATATGAGTAGCCAGTGAAAAAATACCTGCCTGGTACGCTAAATATCAGAAATCATAACTCGATTGAAGTTTTTGCTCTTTTTGAAAAAAAAAAATTAGTATTGCATAAATATTTCTTAAATTTTAAGCATCCTACTTGCTGAAAGATTATTATATTATCCATACTCTATACTTGTCTTGCGATATTTTTATTAGATTGGTATTTTCTTATATTCAATGTTAATTATAGCTTGGTTACTCGTGTCAAGGGAGTCTAAGGTGAAGTCTTATCCTCTCTCTCATGACGGCATTAAGGCACCCCCCCCCCCCCATTTCTCTCTTACTGTGTACCAAAATTTTAGTACTTGTTTCAGAGATGGGGATATACCCATAAGGTTGTAGCATGCTATTTGTAGGACCTGAGGCAGTAAAGTTGGAGAACACAGTCGAAGAAGCAGAGACTCGGTTGTCATCTGACATCATTGAGTCGTCTGTCGTAGCAGATATCAACTCTGACAACAGTCAGTCATCTACGAGTGTGCCCCCAGATATCACACAAACTGACACCTACTCATTAGATGACCCCTATACCAGTGACCCCCCTGACCTTAACCCAGAGGAGGATACCAACCTTCCCACGAAGGCCATCAAGAAAGAAGGCGACTTTCTGACACTGACAACGTATGAGGCAGCCGAGTTGAGCGACTCGAGTGGCCCGCCAGATATTACCAGTGCTGCTTACGAGAAAACTGAGGAGGAAGGGGATATTGAGATTAAAGATTATTCTTATGTGGACTCCAATTCGCCAGCCCCCTTACTGACCAGTTTAGAGGAGCAGGGAGAGTTCACAGACTTCCCCACGGAACTTCCGGAAGACCCCCAGAATATCTTCCCTGACACTGATCCTCCCCCTGACCTGCTTCACCAGGAGGATTTAACACCTCCCGAGGGGTACTTGGGTTCCTCTTTCCCTGAGTCTAGTCTCTCAGAGTCCTTGCTGGCTGTTGCTCCTGGAGATATTCTGCCCGTTGTATCACTTCCCCAGGCAAATCCAAACTTCTTTCAGCAAAACAAAAGTTTGTCTTTGTCTCAGAACATCAAGCGAGGACCAGGAAGGCCGAGAAAAGATGGTCAGGAACCAGCTCCAAGGAGGAGGTCATCGTCGTAAGTATCAGTGTGAGCACTGTTCATAAAAATATTCTGCCAGAAAAGAGAAAGAAAACAACAAAATATCAAGAATTTTCACAATACACAAAAATACTTTCACTTTGTCTTTTAGGAGCAAACCTTTAGCCAAATCTATTGTTACGAAAGCTCAGAGGATTCTACACAACAGTGCAGGCATCAGCAGGAAGATATTTCCACCTATAGAACAGATGGACTCGGGGAGCCAGAGTTCACTGTCTCAGGCTGAGGGGCCGATGGTCCCCCTCTCTATGGAATCAGGGGAAGAAACCACCCAGTACGAAATGGATGAAGATGGTAAGTCCAACAAAGGGAAAGGGGGGTGAAATATTGATTTCAATTGTAGGTTCTTTGCATCAGTGCTAAACAGAAATACTTGTGTAAATCAGCATGCAGTAGGTAGTACATCAAAACTTTTTCAGAAAAAAAAAATTAAGATTGAAAACAAATTTTGAAGAGATAATAACAAAGTTATGACTATGCAATGAGGCTTCAAATTTAAAATGAAGAGATAGAATTTAAAAGTTAATTGTGCATATTAATTATTATGCAAGAAATGAAAAAAAAACTTTTACATTGTCATTATTTTTTATTATTTGTTCTGTTTGTTGTTGTTTTTTTAATTTTTTGTTTTTGTTTTTTTGCTAGATATACATGATATACCTTGTAATTGGAAAAAAAAATTCAGATGCTTTTTCTCCTTCTTAAATTATTTTTACCAGGATTTCAATACAGAAAAAAATTATTGAAAAGTATTTTGTAAGTTATACACTGTAAACAATGAAATAGTTTCATTTTTATAAAGTTTTATAATGATCAGTGAGCATCACATGCGCTAAGAAGTCTCCCTAAATTTCAAAACTTCTCCCTAAATTTCTCTGAGGGAGAAGTGAAGTCTCCCTAAATTTTGGGTCTAGGTTGGTCCCTGAAATTTAAAAAAAAAAAAGAAAAAAGAAAACATTTATAACAATTTAATAATACTGTGGATTGGTGTACATTGTTTTCTTTTAACAGTTTTTTAACTCAAAGAATTTATATGAAATTGATGTAACTTTTAGCTTAGGTATTGTAACAGAAAACAATGTTTAAGTTTTAAAATTAGGTCTGTATTAAAGTGTAATATCACAAATCAAACCCTTTCAAGTGCTATAAGACAAGGAAATAATTGACACTATGACTCACCATTCAATTTTTTTCTGTTTGAAGAAGAATATGTTTAAAGGGTTAATAGGAAAATATAATAACTTCATTCTTTTTTTCCTTAAGTATCAACAGTGATGTCTGAAAATATGGATGAAGCTAGTTTAGACTCCCAGCTGTAAGTATTTACAGTGTACTTATCTTTTATGCCATTATGGATCTATATAAAAATGATGAATGTAGTACATGTACTTCAAGGTGAAAAAACAACTTTGCTGATATCTTCATGTAAATTTTTAAATAAATTAACATCCAGGAGAGAGTACATTCCTTTTAAGATAATTCTATTTAATTTTTTAATCAGGCCAGTTCGTGTCTGTGGTCTGTGTAACTGTGGAGAGAGGAGCTTGCTGGGTCAGGGGGAAATCTTTCGATTTGAGCCCACTCAAGGCTTTAACTTCCGAAAGACCCTGGCAAAAAATGACAAGAAACCTGCTGATTTTGATGAGAGGTCACTAGAGAAGGAGGGGGCCTCCAAACCATTGACATGGAGAAGAAATAGAGGGCCTATAAAGGGAGTGAGGTAAGGCGGGACTGTTACAGCTCTCTCAAGAATGGGAAGAAAAAGAGGAAAAGATTTGATTTGATTATGTGTAGTGAAGGTTAAAGTTTAGAAAACTAATAGGAATGTTTTGTAGTCTTGTGTATTTGAATATGTGTTTTTGTTCCTGTAGTGAAAGGGAAAGAGAGAAGAGTCACTCGCCGAGAAGAACAGGAAATGAGGATGACCCCTGCATGCTCCTGGGGGATGAACTTACAGTATTAGGCTTCCCCGAGGAAATAGAAGCTATGCATGTTTTTGAACCAACAGGTAATATTCCTTGTGTAAATATTTTTCTGGAAGTTGTCACATAAATAAAAAATTTGTAATTTTTTTTTAGAAGATACTGACCGTGGTTCTGAAAATTTAGTCATTGATGGGTTTAAATGGAGATGTATACTTACGAGGAGGGTTACTGTAAATTGAAATTTTGAAAATGTTAACCCCATCCTACCCCCTCTTTTTTAGTGAGGAAAAATATGAATGGTGTAAGTTCCTAGATAAGAGAAAAATGTCAAGAGAGATAACCTACCATGTCACAAAAGATAGCTGATGTCTTGGTTTTTATTAGGTCATGTGTGGGCACATCATCTATGTGCTGCCTGGTCAGATGGAGTCAGCTCTACTGGGGATGGAACTCTCAAGTTTGTCGACAAAGCTGTCTTCAATGGACTTTCTCAGGTATACTAAGATTTTAAAGCCATCTCACAATATTTCAAGGAAAATTTTCTTGAAATCTTGATTTCATTTATACAGGAGAAAAAACAGATTTATCCTTTGGTGAAACTAGGAAATAAAGTAATAAAGGAAGAAAGAAGAAACATTACATGCTTATTTTCCTGTTGTAGAAATGCAGTTACTGTAGGCGATATGGAGCCACTATTAACTGTGTCTATCCTAAGTGTACAAAGAAGTACCATTACCCTTGTGCTGCTGCTGGGGCATGTTTCCAGGTATCATGTCAAAGACAGACAAGCTTAAGGCCTTAAATAGTGGAACAATTATTAATGTATTATTTGATGTCAGTGTTTAGTTTAGGAGATGTTAATCATGTGTTACTGTATTTAGGACAAGAAGAAGCTGTCTATTCTCTGCCCCGATCATTCAGATCAAGCGGAGGCTATTGGTATGAACAAGATTTCAAACTTTGTGATTTTAAACAGTCTATTCACAGAATATTAAATTCAAAGATAAATTTTCATCTATATGGAACTAATGTAGTGTTATCTGGAGTTTAAACGCAGTGGGAAATTAGGTTCAAGTGTATACATGTACTTTGTTTTACAAATATGATGAAGGATAATTAATTTAGATCAAATTTTATTTGCTCTTGATATTCCACTTTTCATTTGCTTTCAGCTGGTGAGGATGCATACTGTGTTTTGTGTTGCCAAGCCGACAAGATCAACAAACAGCTGTTCTGTACTTCCTGTGGCCATCATTATCATGGCAGCTGTCTCCATCCCTCAGTAGCCCTCTCTCCTGAGGTCAGGGCAGGCTGGCAGTGCCCTGACTGTAAGGTGTGCCAAATGTGCAGGTATGAGTTACATTAAAAGTAAATGATTTCCAGATTCAAACTTTTAGTAAAAATCAATCTTTGTTAGAATTTGAAATTTTTCGTGGAATTGCTTGCATAATTGATATGCATTTGTATATATTGTAAATGCATTAAAAAGGAATGAATTACTTAAAAATTGACTGAAGGTCCAATTCTCAGACATGGAACTTACCTAATGTTCTAGGCTCTGCTGTAAAGTAAAACTATAATAATTAATTTTTCTTTGCTGGCAGAACCTTATTATGTATTAGAAAGGCATAAATTAGTTAGAAATTGACGCAAGGTCCAATTCTCTGACAGGATCTTTCCTAACATTCACAATATATGTTGTTCATGATGCAGTGTTCAAATATTTTGTAAAGGAGATCGTTTAACCATGCTTTCTGTTGTGACAGACAACCAGGTGAGGACAGTAAGATGCTGGTGTGTGACACGTGTGACAAAGGATACCACACCTTCTGTCTGAAGCCAGTCATGACCGCCATACCAAAGAATGGGTGGAAGTGCAAGGTATACCATACATAAACACACAGACATGTCAAAACTGAACAAAATTGCTGTAAATCATATTGAAAGTTTCCCCAAAACTTTGATGCCTGTAAGTTTGTTGTTTGTATTGTAGAACTGTCGAGTGTGTGGAGACTGCGGTGCCCGAACCCCAGGAAGTGGCCCCAGTTCTCGGTGGCACCTGAACTACTCTGTGTGTGACAGTTGTTACCAGCAGAGAAACAAGGGCCTGTCCTGTCCACTGTGTGGCAAGGCTTACAGACAGTTTACACAGAAAGCCATGATACAGTGCAACACCTGCAAAAAGTGCGTTCAGATAAAGTTTAGCTATAGTAATAATAACTTAACAATTTACACTTAACATTATGAAGACAACAAAAATTACATACCAATTGAATTTAAAGTGTTAAAGGCAATGTTTCATATTGCCAGATTCTATACAGTTGAGTTTCATGAAGTGTATGATTGTGGTCCCAATATATTAGCATCTGGGTTAATGAAGCATCTTTATTATATAAACAGATTTTCATAAGATTTATTGGAATACAGAAATAATTATTTTGTTTCCCAAAAAAATACGTAAATCGAAGAGACTGGAATAATGAAACTCCACTGTAAAGTAAAATTGAGGTGATTTCTTAGCTGGTAGAACCTGGATATCTTCAAAAATTTACTTAGTTGTGTGTTGAGATACATGTAATTGAAGGCCTGGAATTTTTTGTACTAAGGCCATAAAAATTAAATTTCTTGGCTCTCAGGCCCTCCCTCATCTCTTCCAAGGGTGCCTCATTGACCCTTTTTATTGCTAAATCAATAAAATAAAAACAACAAATCACCTCCCTCATCATTTTTCGAGGCTTTTTACAATGTAAAAAGCTGCCTCATCATGTTTTGGGGGCAATAATTTTTTTTTTAAAAATGCCTACCTCCCTCATCATATTTCTTGAAAAAGGGCCTGAGAACCAAGGAATTAACTCTGCATGGCCTAAATTGTGATTGATGTTTGTAGGCATGTTCATGCTGAATGTGATGACTACATTGACAATGTGATGTTGGAGAGAGTGAAGAACGAAGAACAGGTGGACTACATGTGTTCTGTTTGTCGCAACAGAGACCCAGAGGTGAGAGTGAGTGACTACTGAAACTACACTGTATTTCTCTTGTTTTCTTCCAAATGTTGTTAAGCATCGTTTCAAATGTGGGTGTTTTAATTTGTACAAGTATGGTATAAATTGATTCTATGTACACCAGTTGATACAAATCATATACTTGTACTGATTAATATTTCAGATGGAATCGGTGTTTCCTTTTAATTTTCCTTCCCATGAGGAGCCAAGTAATGAAATGTTTGACATCAAAGGTAATTGTAAGTAAATACATGTGTACATGCATAGTTTTTGCTGTAAGCTGTTCAAATATCTATCTGTTTTGAAAGGTTTCTACTCAAAAATGGTTGCTGCAAAATGTCAGCTGTATCAAAATATTGATGTGATTAATTTACAGATTCTGACATGGAAAATGCATCCTCCATAATGGATGAAAGCTCCAGTTCCTTCCTCCTTAATGAAGACTCCATCTCTAGCATGGATATAGACATCAATGCACTGGAAAAGGTTGGATGTTTGATTTATTAAAATTTTTTTTTACATATGTAGATATTTCATGAAGGAAAGTGAAATTAACATGAGACATTACAGCAAGCTTATGTTATCGAGAACGTTATTCATTTTCGATATTTTTTCAATGAGAAAAGGAAGTTGATAAATAACTTGGTTCACAAACACATTTTTTTTTAAAGATATTAAATATTATAGTGTAATTATAGTGTTTGATTTTTTTGTCATTTAAATTTTTTTTGTTTCAGTTTTCTAGCCCTCCCCATATTCACCCACCACAAGAGGGCTGTGGTATTGGTAGCAAAGGAGGAAAACTGAACGCCATGAGCCGAAAGAAAATAGGAGTGTCCAATCCTGGAAGGTCAAGGGTAAGTGTTGGTATCGTTTTATACCATTAATTTACATTGTAAACAAGACTTTTAAAGTTTTTATGTAAATTTATACACCTACATGTACATCAAAATTTACAAGGAATTGAGTTTTTAGAAACTTACATATATATATATATATATATATATATATATATATATATATATATATATATATATATATATATATATATATATATTAATATATGTGCTTGAATATAACAGAGTTATATATTGTATATCATACTTTTTAAAAGCACAAGTCTCTATTTTAATCATCAGAATATAACACTGAACATTGGTCCACCACAGCTGATGATTCTGCAGTAAACATAATAATTTTCTGAAAATTTCAACAACTCTGTTGTAAAAATTTTGGTTATTTAGCAATAAGTGCATGTTAAATTGTTATGAAAGCACTGCTTTAAATGGCTAACTTTACACTACATAATAAACTCAGGTGACCTATTGCTATCCGTTTTTGTCTGGCGGTGTGCGGTGTGCGTCGTGTGTTAACATTTGAGCATTTTCAGCTTCTTCTCTGCAACCGCTCAACCAATTTCAACCAATTTTGGCATAAAGCATCTATGGGTGAAGGGGAACAAAAATTTTGAATTTCATGGTCCCTGTCCCCTGGGGCCTGAGGGGTGGGGCCAAAACCACTAAAATTAGTGCAATCTTTAAAAATCTTCTTCTTTACTCCTGGACATCAAGCAGTCTAACTGTTGGCATGATTGTAATGAGCATTGAGTCCTTTATCAAAATTGTGAAATTCATGGCCCCAGGGTCAGGGGTTCTAGTACTAGGGTGGGGCTATATAGATTATATAATGAAAATGCATTATTTCTTTGAAAATCTTCTTCTCTGCTCCTGGGTATTAAAAAAACCAACTAAGTACGCAATTATGATAAGCAAGAGTGCCTCTTCCAAAATTGTGAATTTTATGGCCCCAGGGTCAGGGGTTGTGGTGTTAGGGCGGGGCTCTATTGATTATATAGTGAAAATACATTAATTCTTTGAAAATCTTTTCCTTTGCTCCTGGGTTTTATGCCAATGATCCAAGTATATATATTTTTAATGAAGAAAGGTGCATCTAGCAAAATGGTTATTTTATATGCCCCCTGGGTCGGGGTGGGGGAGGGGGGGGGGCACAAAGTCTGACAATAAATTAATGCTTTGAAATCTGCTCTTTGGTATTAATCAACAATTTTATGATAAAATTCGCAAAATTTGAAATACCAGGTATGTGGCCCCAGGGCCAGTGGTTCCTTTGTAGTGAGGTGCAAAACTGATCATAAAGTGGAAGTACATTTTCTCTTTGTTACTCTGATATACCTCTGGGTATTAAGTAAATAGAGTAAGCATGCTAAGTTTATAATTATGATAAGCAATGGTGCCTCTTTCAAAATTGTGAATTTCATGGCCTCTGGTTTAAAACACGAACCAAAGTTAATTGTTTGAAAGTTGTTACACGATACTCAGGTGACCTATAAGGCCCGTGGGCCTCTTGTAAAGTATAAATATCATTTCTCCTCTAGGGAAGACCAATGGCACCAGAGAAGAAAAAGAGACCCCCAGCTTTCTGTGAGAGAAAGAGGGGACCCAAACCAAAACTTAAAACCAGTCAGCCTGGACTACAAGCACAGGTAGACACAGGAAATTTAAACACATGTCCACCTCAGAAATAATATCCCTAAGCTACCATTGAGTGGCCTTATCACCAAGGAAAATACTTTTAACTTGTTCCATTTTACGATTATTTTAAGGGGAAAAAAGTGTTTCAGAATTCCGTGTTTTAGAGACTGCATGAGAGGTTTAATTTTAGAGAAAGTTGTTTTGAGACAATTGCAATGCTTAAATGTTATGACAACATTAAAGTAAGAGTCTTGAAGGGTAAGGGATTGAAAAAGGGAAAGAATTCTTAACATAGTGACTGAAAAGTTGCAAAAATAAAATTTGGTTTATATTTTCTCTTAACTGTGACAGTTGTATCCATCATCAGTACTTTCAATGCTTGATCATGTAAATGTTTATGTACCTGTAGATATCACCAGCTCTCCCTGGAGAACCCCCCAAGAAGACTCAGTTTTCTACCGAGGATGAAGATGATGGTGATGACCATCCACAGACCATTATACTGGCCAACGCTCAGGATAGATTTGTCCTAGATCAGGTACTGTAATTAACAAACAGATGATGTACAAGCCATTCAGTAGTATCAAGTACATAAGATAAAGAATTTACAGTACCTTATATCAAATTGCTAAACCCTCTTTTATATCTTACAGTTTGGTCCTTTACATTTTGAATTATTCTAACTAAGGATGTAATATTTTTCTAAGATAATGAAAGAAATGTTTCCAAAGATGTTGATTTTCTTACAGGATGTTTGCAAAAGTTGTGGCAGTTTTGGTCGTGGAGAGGAAGGAAAGCTTATAGTCTGTACCCAGTGTGGCCAGTGTTACCATCCGTACTGTGCCAGTGTCAAGGTCAGAGATGAATAAAAATCGGCTATAATTAGAAGGGAAAAAAATTATTTGTTTAGGCAGCATTGATGTTATAAATTATACAGTGTTTTGTGGAATGCATTACTTCAATCTTAATTGTTGTTTACAGGTAACCAAGGTGATTCTTCAGAAAGGCTGGCGTTGCCTTGACTGCACTGTTTGTGAGGGCTGCGGGAAGCCTCATGATGAAGGGAGACTACTCCTGTGTGACGAATGTGATATCAGTTACCACATATATTGTCTGGATCCACCCCTGAATCATGTACCAAAAGGAACCTGGAAATGTAAATGGTGAGGCCAGAGTTTTTCTTAGTAGATCCTTAGAGATAAACACATATACATTGGTATTAAATTGCAACTGACATGTACCTAGTAGATTAGGATTAAACACATTATTCATGTTATTTGATATTCAGTGACCTTAATCTTAAGATGGAAGAGTTTTAGAAAGTCTGATGAATGCACTGTATACAAACTTGATCAGTTACAATATGTACCTATCGTGTGCTGAATGCACTATATACACACATATTACCAGTAACATTATTTACCTGTTGTGTAGGTGTGTGATGTGTGTGAACTGTGGCAGCACCACTCCAGGCTTTGGCTGTAACTGGCAGAACAATTACACCCAGTGTGGTCCCTGTCGCAGTAAGATTGACTGTCCCGTGTGTAGACACAAGTACCACGAGGATGAGATGATTATCCAGTGTCTACAGTGTAACCGCTGGCTGCACGCCCTATGTGACGGACTCCGGTCAGAGGACGACATGGAGAGGGCTGCCGATTACGACTATCAGTGTCTGTTCTGTAGACCAAAGACAGGCAAAGACGGACCGTGTAAGTCAATGTTACATTTATCATGATGACTGGAGTTGGTGTTTTCCAATGTAGATCAGTTGAATATGATATATACTGTGTGATTTATTGTAGTGCCACCACCTCCTGCACCACCCACACCACCCCCTGTGGAGATGGAAGAACCCTCCACCCCGCCATTTTACAGAGAGCCAGGTACTCATTCACGTTATTACTGCTACACAGATATACTAATACTAGACTATGAAATGTACAATGAATTTAAAGAAGCTTATGTAAAATCTTGAACATATCAGTTTATTGTTAAATTCTTTATTACAAAATGAATTGTTTTGGGATCTTTCAAGGATTTTGAAACAAGAAAATTTGAAAAAGATGGGATTTTTTAGACTTATTTTTTCCAAAACATTTTGTGAAATTGCTTTGAACTTTAGCAATGCACATTGAAGTGCTGAAATTTCATTTATTTGCATGTTCTTCAGTTATATATTCTTTACCATGAATAATTAAAACATGCATTGAATAAGAAAAAAAAATATGGATTCTTATGTCAGAAAATTTTTATAAACTTCATGAAGATAAATCTAATTTCAATTAAGTATTTGCTTTCAAAACTTTTTGTTGGAGAAGGTGGGGTTCAAATTGTTTTGGAGTGAAAGCAATATTTTTTTTTGGGGGGGGGGGGATTACTTGAATGTATCTGTGGTTTGTAATTATAAAAATTTTGAGGAGAGGAAACATGATTTGTATTAAAAAAAAAAAAAGATAAGAAACAAAAAAAAAAAGAGAGAACTTGTTATTTGTAAGGAATGTGTAAAAGTTTCTTTTGAACCCCATTGATTTTGTTCTGAATAAGAAGGTCCTTGCCTTTTTGTTGACAGTGGAGAGCTTAAGCAGCTACTTCTCCAAGTTTCCTCCAGTTTATTTCCCTATCGGTAATATCTGCATGTAGAAAACACCTTTATTGCTGCACCAAAAAGCTTTATTTGTCATTTTAAAATCAACCCTGCTTGACAATTTTGAATGAACAAATGTTTCCATTTTTGTAGGATGCATATAAAAATTTCTTGCATAAACATAGGTTTTTTTTTGTTGTGACAATGAAGTGTAAGATTTTAAAAACTTCAGTATGAAAATTCTGAGACTATTTCATGCATAATTTCTTTGATAAAGTTTTAGATCAGGCAAGCCTTGCTGAACACTTAAATTTTTGATAGCCCATGTAATGTATAAACAGATTTTGACATATACATATACTCAGGAGAGCCTTTATACCATGTTGCCTGCACCTACATGTTTACTATATGTGTATGTCTATGTCAATAAATGTTAATTATTGTATGAAATTAATTTGTAGCTTTCATATTTTTTGAATATTTTGATTTTTACTTAGAATTTGATTTTGTGTAAAATATCCGAATAATTGCTCTTGACTTCTTTCTTATGTCTATCACATTGTAGATGAGGAACATTCAGCAGATTTACATTAATACAATTTATCATATTTACATATTTATACAATCTCAAGTTGTAAAATTGATTGTCAAGGGTTGTTTTAATATTGTTGAGTTCTGAAAATGATTGAGACAATCCATTACTTGTAGTTTGTTTCCAAAAATAGTGATCAGATTGCACTTGAATATTATAGAACCTATTCCACAAAAGCGATACTTGATGGACGGGGTTTACTTATCGGAGACAGGTGTACAACACATGCAGGAAATAACCATACAGATTCCGAAAGTGAAGCGACAGAGGCGAACCAACAAACGGCCATCAATTGATATGTTACCAGGGCAACGCCTGACAACGCAGATGTCTCAGGAGGGAGACGAACTAGAAAAAGGTTGGACTTTACCAGGAAGAGTTGTTAATCATTGTGAAAAATTACTGAATAGATCTCTAACTACCCAGATAAAATAAAGAAGTGGAACAGAAGAATTTGTATCATGTGTTGATTTCAATGTCTTTTGAAATCTGAGTTTTACATTAACTTAAATGTTCAGAAGTTTTTACATGAAGTTTTAACATGTTGAGACTTGTGGGAATTTTAGATGGCCTCGATGATGTCAGTGAGATGTCTACCCCCCTACCAGCTGAAGCCCGAGGGGAAGGGGACTCCCTGTTGAGCCCCACTGGACAGGTGCCCCCAGGAATCCCCCTGGAGGGGGAGAAGAAAGAGAGAAAGAAGAGGACCACTATTGGACTGGGTCTGATTGTCATTTGAAGATATCAAGTCCAATTAAAGCTGTCAGTTAAATACTGTCCTGGGTTTTAAATAATTTATAACATACAGTACCTATTTTCAGGTGTTGGAGGATTTATTGCCAAACAAAGGAGTAGACAAACGAATGTTAAGAGGCAGATGTCAGAAGTTGCTGCAGAAATGGCAGATGGACAACCTCGTCCTGAAGGTAGGGTCGGGGGTTATAAAGGTTATGTAGGTCACTACTGGCCGATCAGTGAGGTTACATTTTGTTTGTGTGTAATATACATGTACATGTAGGAGTTTTAAATGATTTAATTGTTATACCCCCGCAAACGAAGTTTAGGGGGGTATATTGGAATCACCATGTCCGTCTGTCTGTCTGTCCATCTGTCTGTAGACAAGATTTTGTCCGGACCATTTCTCAGAAACTGTTGGATGGATTTGTCTGAAAATTTATACACTTATTATTCACCATATGAAGGTATGCACCTGGGATTTTCATCATGATTGGATGATTTTTCTGCATTTTACAGGCGTTTTTTCTTTTTTTATTTTGTGATTTTGTTTGGCTCATAACTAGAAAACTATTAGACTTACAATCATCAAACTTGGACAATTTATGCATCTTGGGTAGACGGTGTGTCACGACCTATTTCAAGGTCACTGTGACCTTTAATTTAACTGATTTTTTTAAAAAAAATAAGTCTTTAAAATTTTAAATTTCATAATCCTAAAAAATGTAAAAATATAGTTGTATCCTTATTAAAAAATGCTAAATTAAGTAAAAACTTATTTTTTATCATATACATGTACTTTACAGCAAATTCTGTAACAAATGTTAATGATTTGAAAGGAATTCAGTTTGTCCCATGGGCATAATTATCAAGCACTGGTCAAGGAGAAATTTTGATAGCAGAAATGTGCATGTCAAATTAGAGAGAAATTAATGAGTTCATTGTCAGGAGTTAACTAACAAGAGCATCATGCTGTGTTATCTTAATTTATCTCTTGGGAGTTGGGCAAAAAGAAATGGCCTTAAGGCCGGTTTACACTATGCATCTTGACACATACATCTAAACTCATGCTTCAATTTTGCCTCATGCATCTTCTTATTTACACTATGTGTCTTGATGCATGCATCTTCAGAATACTTTGTAAAGATGAAAATTCTCTACTTAAAAAAATAACAATACCTTCAAATTTCATTTCCGGATTTATTTTAGCTGAACAAATCATTCTTAATTTCATTTTTATGATAATTCTTGGAAGATATAATTTATATTTATTCCAAAAGAAAAACTCCTCTACATTATAATAATCAAATAAGTTTTTCTAATTGTAGTTTTAATCAGTATTCTCTGTTTTTTGTGTATCTTGGGAAGCTATTTTTGAAACTATATGAAAAAAAATAAGGCTCATGATTCAATATCAACTCTGACCTTTCTTTTCATTGGTCAGTTCCATGCATCTTGAAGCACGGAATAGAACAAGTTCTATTCCATCGTTCAAGATGCAACACCCATTTAATTTGAAACAAGGGGCTATTACACTGTGAATCTTGACACATGCATCCAAGATGCATGTGTCAAGATGCATAGTGTAAACCGGCCTTTATAGTTGCTTGTGTTAATTAAGAGTTCTTGATGGCTGTAGTTCAGATAAAGATCTTTCAATTGGTGTAATTTAATTAAAACAAATTGATGTTTTAGTGTATGATTAAAACTGAATTAGTATTGAATAATATAATTAAAATTAATTATACATGTGTTCATTAAAAAAAAAATTACATTTCAATTTTTATATATTTGCAACAAATTGCAGTCATGTCTCACTTAGAATTTTATAGTCTAAAGAATAATTAATTTTTGATTTTTTTTATTAGACTGTAGCATTTCCATTATTTCATAAAATATGCAATAAACAATTGAAAGCTGCAGATGGATATTTGTTAAGCTCTAACACAGCCAGTTTAGAATTATATGATGTATTATTTGTTTTAATTAATCCCTACGCTGTAAGTCTCTTAGAGATGTATGTACAATATTTTAAGCATGATAAGAAATGGAAATTAGATCATTGAAATCTGTGTCAATCTGTTAATCAAGGTTACTTGATTTTCTTGCACCCTAACCAATTTATGATTATCGAACAATATTTGATGGGGGTATCATGCTGTGGTGGGGCACTTTATTAGACAATAGTGAAAACCTCTTACTAGATCCATAAAATATTTCTGAATTGGCACCTACTCTGAAAAACCCAGCGGGGGTATTTGTCCCTATTGGACAGTTCTAGTTTAAACATATAGAAAATGCTCTTCTTTGTAGTGAAATACTTGTAGTCAAGTTGATATTTAAAGTGATAAATCTCAAGTCGCTATATACATGTACAAGACTAGTATATATGTTGTTACACAGATACTATCTTACATTTTCACTTTTTCTTTAAATTTTCATTAGGTGAAGATGGTGAACCAGTTCCGATTCAGTTAGGGGAAGGTGAAATGAAGAAACAAAGGAAACGTCAAGCTCGCAAGAAAAGTCAACTGGAAAACAGTTTCCCTAACTATCTACAGGTTTGTTCAAAATACTTATTATAGGCAAAAATGTGGACACTATCTCTGAAAATGTAAACAAAATTTCATAATATAATTTATATATGTTCATCTATATAAAATTCCTTCAGATAATTTCATATTCCAATCTTAACAACTGAATGTCAATTTCCTTTAACCTTAGGAAGCCTTCTTTGGAAAGGACATTCTTGATAAAAGTAAAGCCAAGGTCAAGCAAGGTCACAGAGCCGACTCAGATTCCGACAACGAATCAAGGGCGTCCACCCCTAACCTGCCGAAGGACATCCCCCAGCCCTCGCTGTTTCCTGAGATGACCCAGGGGAATTCTAAGCTCCCTGCAGCCCTGCCCTCTGTTGGAACCTCTCAGTCTGTTCTGTCAGCCGGGGCTTCATTAGTTCCTAGTTTTCCTGGAACTAGTGGTGATATTAACCCTATAGGTATTTCGTTAAAAAAATATTATCCATGTAAATCAGTTGATAGCAGTAGTCTGGCTTTAGTTTTATATGTTTGTATGAAGTACAAAATGCAGAGAGGGATTATCTATCTTTTCCATATGGTGAAATGTTTATCTGAATTCATTACATTTTGAGAGAGAGATTTATGTTTTACAGCAGATGTGTTACCAGACCTAGAAGAACTGCCACATGATGATCTCCTGAGTATATTCAAAGATGGAGGTAAATGTTGACATATACTATCTAATAGATAGAAGATACAGATTTTGTTTTTAAATGATTCTCCATCAGGAACATGTGAAAGAAATGCACAGATTAATGTTTTTTATTGCTCTATAATTTGTTTTTGTTAAAATTAAAAGTACTTCATGTATTGAAATTTGCAGATTTCTAATTTGTTTGAAATATAAGCAGAAAACAAATTAATTATGACTCATAATTAGGTACATGTATTAAATGAGCTGAGTTTTTGTTTTGACAGATCTGCCTATGACAGAGGAGCAGCCATCCACCAGTCAGCCGACAGCGGGCCCCAGCGGTGAGCTCCCGGACATCCTGTCTGACGTGGAGACCACGATTGATGTCGATAAAATGCTTCCTGATGGTCAGTTTAAAAGTCAGCCTACATGTTTTAGTTTATCTGCACTTAGTACCTTTTCTGTGAGATTCTTACAGATGTATAAAGTGACTTAGAAAAAAAAAATTAGAGAGATCTTAGTTATAATAATTCATTCATTGCTATTCAATGTACGTTATGATTGATAAAATATGTGCAGTGCAGAAAACAGTTTACAGCATTTTGTATCCTCCAAGATTGAGGCTGATGAATAATTATCTCCCTTTACAGATTTGACCCAGATAGATGGACAGACAGTGGATGACATATTTAAGGGTGTCCTTCAACCCGATGGAGATCCTAATCAATGTAATATTACAATACAAAATCAAATATTAATAAATAAGCAATTTTCTTAGATCTTCAGTTGGATCATAGGATCTTCAATGCAAAAGTAACAGCAATTATTTTTTTGTTAGCCTGTTGAATTCAATGCAACTGAACTAATGCTTGAAAAATTGCAGCTGTACCCGGTGGAGGACCTCAGTACCCGCTGGTTGGCTCCTCTGTACCACGCCTACCACCCCACATGCAGCAACCAGGACAGATGCCACCAATGCCTGGAATGCCTTATGGAGACTACAGGTATTTTTTGCTCTATCACCCAGAGAAAAGATCTGCACAAATTTGTGATATTCCAAAAAAGGAATCTTTGTTAAGCTTTTGAAAAGCAGAATGAGCAGTATTTTGATAGGAAATGTGGAGATAAAAGTATGAACAGCTAGCTGGAGATTAAAACTATTTTTATATTAACATATACATGTACAGTTATAAATGTGAAACAATTTTTAAGAAAGATAAAACAGTTAATCACAAGATTTAAGGTTATTTTGTGCAGTTAATTTGTTAGGGAAAAAACTGATTAGAGTTTGTTGTTTGACAGGGGGATGGGAGGAGAACCGCCATCATGGCAGCAGGTGGGGGCGGATGGTGAGGACGGCGGGGGGACAACCACGAGTCGCCGTAACATGCTGAAGTGGGAGTGTGACGAGGATCTGGGAGAGAAGTCCACAATATCCGCCGTGTTATACTGCAATCTGAGGCATCCTGAGCTTAAACAACAATACCCAGGTACAGGGTTAGGGGGGCAAACAGAACATAGATATACCATAGATAGACACACTATATCCGCCGTGTTATACTGCAATCTGAGGCATCCCGAGCTCAAACAACAGAACGCAGGTACAGGGTTAACAGGTGCAAACAGAGTAATCCCAGATGTAGACTAGTTTAATTTGTAAAGTTAAGAAGGTAGATAATTGTTATTTGAATTGAGAGGCACTTGTATTAATACTCTAATTATGGGGAGAACTATTTGAAGATTTAATACTGGATTTTCAATTTGAAAGTAAGATATTGTTGATATTTTTTTTATTTATAACAAATATTTCTGTTATTTTTTATAGACTGGTCTGAGAGAGTGAAGAAAATTGCAAAGGCTTGGCGAGAGTTATCCTCTGATGAGAAGCAACCTTATTTGGTGAGAAATAGGGTTATAATAAAATTAAATCAGTAGTTTGATCACATTTAATTGTCAAGTACCTTTACTGTGCATATTTTCAATATAAAATTATTACTGGTTTACCTTTTAGTTATATTTTTGGTGTCTTTTTTTTTTAGATGCAGGCAAGGAAAAACCGAGCTAACACTAAGGTATAGTGTTTGATTACTCTGGTTACTTCCGAAATCAATTTGTTTCAATGTTTTTTGATAGCCTTCATCAACCTGTATGTAATCCAGCTAAGTTGTCTCAATATCCCTATTACTGAAATTAGGGCATTTCCGTTTGTAGTGACTGTACTTTCTTTTTGTAGCAGACACAAGAATTTAAAAAGAAAAATAAAACCCCTGTAATGGGACCGCCAATGCCTCCAGGACCCCAGGGGCAAATGCCTCTCCCTCAGAACTCTCCCTATCCCCCTCCAGGGGACAGTAAGTAGTAATTTTGTTTTAAAAATACATGTACCATGTATGATGCTATTTATGGGTAACTTCAGTTCAAAGAGGAATCAGATTTTTTATTTCACTAATACATTCAGGAAATGTACCTAGATGCATATCCTATTAAAGGGAACATGTAAATGAGAATTTTAGAGTCTGTAGTTCTATGCCATTTAATTCATTTTCAGTTTATTTTCTGGGTACCTATTGTAAGTCAGCCAGTAAGAATACCTGTTAGTACAATGTACTCTGTGAAGTCTGTAATTGAGATGAATCTTGTTTCAGGTATGGGATCTCCTGTTGGCCCAAGCCCTTCTAACAGAGTACCTAGTAGTCCTTCTGTGATGACCACACCAGAAGGTATTTATGGAAAATTTGTTTTCTTTAGGAAGGATTAGAATGTATTTTTTGTGTTGATTTGAGCTTTTGATTGATCTGTAAATATTGAGGTCCCATACAGAAGTAAATTCTGTCAAGAGAAGGATCTCTCACTGCTCAATCCAGAATGCCCAGTACAGGTGTAAAATTGCAGCCATCCATCTGCAAATATTATAAATACATGTATTCTCAAAAAGACCTCATAGAGTGGTATAGAAAACGTGTGTGTGCATACCTGTACATGTAAATAAGTTAGAATTGGTCTTGATTGACAGGTCACTCCCCTAGTCAGATGCCGGGCAGTCTACCTGAGAGCCCCCTTAGTCACCCCACCACCCCACAGGATCCTAGGATGATGGGATCACACCCTGACCCCTTCAATCCAGGTAAGTTGTGAAACACCTATTGTAGGAGGATAAATCTTAATTACTTGTATATGAAGAAAATCTCAATACTGTAGAAGTACTTTTTTCCGCGTGGTATTAATTAACGCTATGTACGAGGTCACAAATCTTCCGCGGAAATTTGTCCAAGTCTACTTGATATAAATGTAAGGCATATAGTGACAAACTACAAAATCCGCGTAATTTTCTACCCGCGGATTAAACAGAAATTGAGATTCCGCGGAATTATGACCCCGTGGAAAAAAGTACGTCTACAGTATTCTAATCTTTTGAGTTTGATTTTATTTGTAGTAATGGCACCACCAGGAATGCGGCACCCTCAGGGTGGACCTCCTAGACCTCCCATGGTGCGATCAGCTTCAGGAGGAATGGACCCTTACAGTCAGGATCCTTACGCTAAGCCGCCCTCAACTCCTATGTCAGGTCCACAAACCCCCCAAAAGTCCCCCTCAAAACTGCAGTGGCCCGGTCAGGCTCAGGAGTCAGATTCCTATGAAAACCCTCCAGGTACCCCAATGGAGGGAATCGGTTCCGGACATGGTCCTGCCCCAGGGCACCCATTTGATCCTTATGCACAGCCCCCTCACACGCCTCGGCCAGGAATGGTTCCACCACAAGGGGCTCCAAGGCCACCCTTCTCCCGTCAGTCTTCTATGCCAGCTACGCAGACTTCTCATGCTGAGGATCCTTATGCTTTTCCTCCCCATACTCCTGGCCCTAGACCAACAGGAGAGGTTCAAAGTCCAGATGTGGGTCCGAGACAGCCAGGGGAGATATACCCTAGAATGGGAGACCATCTGCGGCCTCCTTTTCCTCCCAGCTCTGTCCCCGGTTCCATGGGCCAGCCATTACAGGGTACACCCTCTGAACTGTACAGAATGGGCAGCCAGGCGGGAATGAGGCTCCCGTTCAGACCCCCAGGTCCACCCACGTCTAGACCCGATGTCTACGGGCAACCTCTTCATCCTGGTATGGAGCCACCAAGGGAACAATCAGCTGTAAGTCTGTAATGCAT